ACAGTCTGCCCTGGGGACACTAAAAATCCTACCTGCCCTGAAGCCCTTCTCCAGCAGTTGGTAGGCACATTATGATCATGGCAGCGTGTCTTCAGAAATCTCAAAGCAGGACCCTTCCAGGCACCCTTTTAGTACCTCTAGAGTTTCTTTTTTTAAAAAGTGAGATATAATTGCCACATAAAATTATATTTGTTTCAAGTGCACAACTTAATGATTCAATATCTGTGTATATTGCAAAATGATCACAACCTAAAGTTCTGATACTTGCCACCCTCGAGGTCAGGCTGCCCTGCCGCTGTGCTCTGCGTCTTTTCCCAGCCTCGACTACCATCGGAATGTGCATCTCTGCATTCCATTGCTCTCAGCTGACTGTAAATCACACTAAGAAGCAATCTGGCAAACCAGTCCCTGTGAAGGGATTACTGACTGGTGGTAATAACAGCATCAAAAATACTGTTGTGTACCAGGAACTTTACAGATATATTATTTCTAAACTATGTGACAATTCTGTAGGGTTGTTTTTTTCCTTTATGCTGTTACATGGATGAGAAAATTGAGGGTCAGACAGGCAGTTAATTTGGTCCAGGTCACACATCTAGTACATGGTGGAACCAGGATCTGAACTCAGATTTGTCTGTGAACGTTTTTGGAACATTCACCTACATATTGCCAAAAATCAAGGCTGTGTGGGGGTGGTGTGGATACCTGAATGACAATCAGTGTAGTTACTAAGGGAGGGGAAACTGATGTTGGAGAGACAAGCATAATGGTCACAGGAGACTCATAACCAGCCTTCATGTCCTATGCCTTAAAGGACAACTTTTATCCCTTCTTGGTCAATTCCTTCCACCTCCATGTTGAAGCCAAAAGATAACTAGTACTCCAAGAAGAGGTCAATGTGGTGCAGCCATTGTGGAAAACAGTATGAAGTTACCTCAAAAAATTAAAAATGGAACTGCTTTGCTCTAGCCACTTTTGCTCAATGGATAGAGTGTCAGCTTGGAAACTGAAGGGTCCCAGGTTAGATTCTGGTCAAGGGCACATGCCTGGGTTGCAGGCTTGAGCACCAGTAGGGGGCGTGCAGGAGGCAGCCAATCAATGATTCTCTCTCATCATTGATGTTTTTATCTCTCTCTTCCTCTCCCCTCCTCTCTGAAATCAATAAATATATCTTAACAAATGTTTTTAAAAAATAATAAAAATGGAACTGCCTTATGACCCAGCAATTCCACTTCTGGAAATACACCCAAAGAAGCCTGAAACACTAATTTGAAAGAACATATGCACCCCTGTGCTCATTACAGCGTTATTTACAATAGCCAAGATTTGGAAGCATCTCAAGTGCCATCATAGATGATTGTATAAAAAAGCTGTGGTACATTTACACCATGGAATACTACTCAGCTATAAAAAAGAAGGAAATCTTACCTTTTGCGACAGCATGGATAGACCTGGAGAGTATCAGGCTAAGTGGAATAAGCCAGTTAGAGAAAGGCAAGTACCATATAATTTCACTTACTAGTATATGTAGACTGTAATGAATAAGATAAATTAATGAACAAAACAGGAACAGACTCATAGATACAGAGAACAGACTGACAGCTGTTAAGGGGAAGAGAGTTGGGGGCTGGGTGAAAAAGGTGAAGGGATTAAGGGGGGGTGGGAAGAAAACTCATAGACACAGACAACAGTATGGTAATTACCAGAAGGAAAAGGGGGTAGGGGTAAGTAGAGGAGGGTAAAGGGGGAATAAATGGCAATGGAAGGAGATTTGATTTGGGTAGTAAATACACAATACACAGATGATGTTTTATAGAATTGTACACTTGATACACTTGAAAACAATATAATTTTATTGACCATTGTCACCCCAATAAATTCAATAAAAATTAAGAAAGGAAGGAAGGAAGGAAGGAAGAAAGGAAGGAAGGAAGGAAGGAAGGAAGGAAGGAAGGAAGGAAGGAAGGAAGGAGAGAGAAAGAAAGAAAGAAAGAAAGAAAGAAAGAAAGAAAGAAAGAAAGAAAGAAAGAGAGAGAGAAAGAAAGAAAGAAAGAAGAAAGAAAGAAAGAAAGAAAGAAAGGGTTGAAATGCTGATAAGCCAAGGTGTATGATCATGGGGCACTAACAGGGGTAGCAACTATTCCAGAAAGTATGTTGTCAATGTGGGATACAGGCAAGCCGCTTGGTCTCAGGGAGTGGCAGCAAGGAGAGTGAAGACATGTGGCAGTGAGGAGTGCCCAGCTCGATCCCTGGCAATGTGTCTGGCACCCCGGGGGCCTGCCAAGTCTGCTTCCCAGCAATTATATTGGAAGTGCTGGCAGGGACTCCTGCATTGTTGGTTCCCACACCATTTAGTTTACCCAGCCAGGTGAGAAAGGTTGGAGGACTCCAGGGTATAGTAGCACATACCTTGGAGGTAGAGGTGGGTGCTGGTGTTGGAGTGCTTGGGTCAGATCCTGAATCTGCTATTCATGGGGAGTGTGAGTTTGGATAAGTTGAAAAACCCCTCTCATTCCCTACTTCTTCATCTGTCAAGTGTGACTAACACTTTACATATACTTCATCAGGGTATTGTGAGGATTTAATAGGTTAGTGTATGAAAACCCTGAATAATAAACACCCAGTAAATGTAAACTTTCAATATGATTTTGGTTTCTTCCTATAGTATAGTGGTTCTCAACTGGGGCAACTTTGCACCTCTCCCCCCTCCTCTCCTCCCAAAGGACATTTGGAAATGTCTGGAGACAGTTTTGGTTGTCACACTGGGAGAATGAGCGCTGCTGGCATCTGGTGGGTCAGGGTCTGGGATGCTTCTAAACATCCCACAATGTGCAGGACAGACCCCTACACAAAAGGATTATCAGCCCCAAATGTTAATAGTGCTGAGGTTCATAGAAACCAAACCATGTGCATCTTCCATTGTTTACCAAGAAGTTGGTAAGATATTTGTTCCAACATGAGACTGGAAAGAGGTGGATTTAGGAGGTTAGCAAGCAATCTCTTTGGTATGGATAAATGGAGCTGAGCCCCACCTCATTGTGACCCGATTCTCAAATTCTACTTTCAGGATTGGTTCATCTGCTGCATGTATTATCAAGCAATAGTGGACTACTTTGACCCCTGTGCTTTTATCCTTCTTTGCAGAGGAGATCGCCGGCATTCTGCAAGACTATTAAACAGCAACAAGGAAATAAAATCGGCCATGTTAGCTCCTGAGCTTCTGCAGCACTCCTTGCATCTGTGGAGGTCCCCTCTCACCAATGGTTTTACTAGTTTTTCTTGCAGATTTTATAAAATCCTCTTTGCATGAGACACCTCCACCAGGAATTCTGCTCTGTTCTCTTGACTGTTGACTGAAATTGAGAATTTTATTCATCCTTTAAGGTCTACTTCACCTCTTGCAACTTCACAATGTAGTTGGGAATTGTCTCTCCCCGCTCTGAACTCCTAGTTATGGTCCGATCATACCTTGACCTAAACTAAAGTTGCCTGATAGCTTTTCATGTAAAGACTGTCTTTTTCTTCCTTACGCCTTCCAGAGAGCCTTGAAGACACTCAGGCTCAGTAAGGTACTCAGGCTCGGTAAGTACTTGAATTAATAAGCAGTCATATGGATCCCCACAGGAATACTCTCTCACTGCAAGCCAAATGCAAGCCTGGTACAAGACCAGGGAGAGCTGTGGCCAGGCCCACTCCTCTGCTGTGCGTTTCTGTGCGACTGCATGTCTCTCTCAGATGAAGCCATTTCTTTCAGATTCCTTGGGAAAATATCCCAGGCATGTACGACAAAAGTCACCACTCTGGGCAGGGGACTGACTGTCCGGCTGAATTTATGTTTCTGCCCTCAAGGATTGTGGAGCTAAACTGCAAAAAGGGCAGTGCCCAGAAAGAAGAGGAGATTGTGGTGTGAATGCCATCACTGGACCTCCTGGCCCTGATGCAGCCAAAGGGCACTGCCCACTCTCTATAGGACTGTTATTAACAGCTAAAGGGTGTCCTGTGAGCGTCAAAGGAAAGTTCACATTTCCATGGAAGGCCCAGAGGCCAAGGGGGAGGTCAGCTGCATCTGTGGAGCTTTTGTCTGGTTGTTCTTTGTTAAAACCCACATGTGGGCCTATTTTGATCTCTCGCATCCCTGCATGTGTTTCTGGGTGGATGGGAATGCTGTGCAGCTGGACCCTGAGTAATGGTTCCGGCCTTCAACAAACTCCTCCGAGGAGCTGTTTAGACAGGGTCGCATTCTGCTCTCAATTTCCAATTTGGCAAAGGAAACTGCATATTCATCTCATCAAATGAGGGGAGAGTTCAGGGCGTTGCCACCAAATTTTCCTCTCTTCCCACATGTGCAAGTCATGAAGAAAAAGTTCTGACTGTTTTTCTGCAATGTCAATTTATGTGCGTCGGTGCCAGCTGAGTCCCTGGCACATAGTAGGTGTTATTTTCTAACTTTTCATTGTGAAATATTCCAAGTATGTACAAAGACAGAATATCTAAGATTTTGGGCACATAAAACGGTACCTATCACTCAGTTTTAATATTTATGAACTCATAGCCAATTAGGATTAGGGTGAGGCAAAGTGGGTTTACAGTTGTGAGAATGCGAAACATAGAGTTTATTCTTATATTATTATTTATTAATTATTGCATTATTTTCCATACAAAAAACTTTTAACCTACTTTTGCCCCACCCTGTATTGTTTTATATAAAACACCACTCACTTCCTCTACCCCATCTGCATTGTTTTGAAATGAATTCCAGATATTATTGAATTCCTTCCATAAACAGTTCTGTATGAATCTCTAAGAGAGGATTCTTTAAATAAGAAGAAAAACAACATAGCTATAATACCACTATCACATCTAAAAAAATAGCAATAAGTCCTTAATATCATCAAATAGGACACTAGCCAGTGTTCAATTATAAATTGTCTCATAAATATTGTAATTTTTCAAAAGTTTCTTTATTTGACTCAGAATCTAAACAAGGTCCATACATTATGATTGGTTGCTATGTTTTATTATGTTTCTTTTCATCTATAGTTTCCCCCTCTACCTCTCATAGTCTCTCTCTCTCTCTCTCTCTCTCTTTCTCTCTCTCTCTCTCTCTCCTTTTCTTGAAGAAGCTGAGTTGTTAGCTTCTAGCAGTCTCGAGTTTTCGAGCTCCCAGTGGTCTCATTGTACATGTTTCTTTGTCTTTTGGGTTTCCTCTAAATTGTTAGTTAGATATTGGGCTTGATCGGCTTCAGGTCTAATTTTTTTTTTTTTTTGAGGATTGCTTCATAGATGCTGTATTTCTCCATCAGGAAACATGTAACATCTGGTTTCTCTCTTTTTGTGATACTAGCAGCTATTGATGATTAATTTCTACATCCATTAATTCATTCAAAGTTGTGAAATGGTGGTGATGATACATTCATTCTTCATTTCATAGCTGTATTATTTCTATAAAGAGAAGAGAAACTTCTGCTTGGTTAACCAATGCATCATTCACGTAGGAAAGGCAGGATAATGAAAAAATAAAAACTGATTCACCAGACTCCTCTAAGTGTGACCAATTATTATTGTTTAGAATCAACATGAACACATGAATTTTAAACATATTTGATGTATTTTAATCTGTTGCATTTACTATCATCATTGATTTTCAAACTGTCCATCTTTGGCCAGTAGGAACCACTTAAAGTTGGCTCTCTAGTCTTTTGATGCAATCCCAATAGTCTTTGATAACTTTGTTTTTTATCTGGTATGACAAGATGTTCCAGGCACATCTTGTGCATTTCCTGCTCTAAATATGGAATCAGCTGTTTCTCCAGAGAGCCCTGTTCTTTTTAGTGGGAAAGTGTTGCTGGAGCTCACTCTGGTAATGAAATGGGTGCTCAGCTAACTGGTTACGTTACTCGTTTCTGGGACGTTTTAGTAGACAGGAAATATGTTTATTTCTTAAGATAAGTACATCATGAGTTCATAGTAATACTTCCAATTCAAATTCAGCATTCTAGGGATGTTGCTTAACATCTTTCATTCTACATTTTCTTTCTTCCAAAGTTGAGAATCCTAGTTTTCAAAGACACTGGAAATGACACTTTATCACAAAATTATGAATTTGTTCTATCATACAACACACACACATCTCAGAAAAACTACCAACCAACACTTACACCAACAACAGGATTCCTGAAAAGAGTTTAAGTGGGTTTTGTTTTCGTTTGAGTTCTTATTGTCCCCAGGGAATATCCCACTAGGGACCTGCAGTCAAGCTGAAGTTTTCAACTCTCATGAAGTAGTTCTACTCTGAGTGGTTATGCAAACTACTCACATTTAGGATCATTTGTTATTTTATCTTCCAGGATTAGCTTTTCTTAAATGTAATTTTATAAAATACAGGGTTCCAAGGTCAAATCTATGAAACAAGATATATTAAAGTAGTCTAGCTTCTTTTTCATATCTCCTTTACCCTATTTCCTCCTATATCTAATAGGCAATCATTTATTTCTAAATTTCATGATCTTTTTATTGCTTGTTTTTAAAACATTACACTCACATACAGATACATATTTTCTTTTTTTAGGTATATATATACAATTTTCTCTAATTTTGTTTCTTGCTATATCTTGGAGATCACTCCATAATAATATATAGAGATATTTTTCACTCCATAATAATATATAGAGGGTTTTTTTCCCTTTTTTAGACTGGTTTAGTTTACTCAAGCAGTCCCTTAATCATGGGTATTTTAGTTCTTTCATCTTTGTTGACAAAAATAGTAACAGCCTGGTTCTCTCTCTCTCTCTCTCTTTCTCTCTCTCTCTCTCTCTCTCTCTCTCTCTCTCTCTCTCTCCTTCTTTCTCTCTCTTTCTGGATTTTCAACTGTATAGCTTTGAATGGGTTCCTAAAAATGGGATTGCTGGATACATAGTAGTTCAAAAAATTTTTTTAAACAATCTCAAACTTAAAGCAAAATTGCAAATAAAGTACAAAGAATAATGTTTTCCCTGCACCACTTGAGAGTAAGTTGCCATCATATGTCCCATCACCAGTGAATACTTTAGTATGTTTTTCCTATAAGCAAAGACATTCACCCACATAATAACAATACACCTACCCAAATCAGGAAAGTAACAGTTGTCTAATACTATCATCTAACCCTTGGACTCCATTCAACCTTCCCCAATGATACCCTTTAAAGTGAAAGGATACGGTTCGGAATCACACTGCATGTTGGTGGCTCATCTCTTCAGTCTCTCATTTTGGAACAGCTCTCGCTTCCCTTAACTTCCATGACCTCAATATGTGTGATGACTACAAGTCTGTTTTTTTGTTGTATGTTCCTCAATTTGGGCTCACCGTATTACTAGATTATTTTTGAAAGATGTATTGGGTTAATGTTGATCATGTTCTCCCTCAGTAGTGTCGGATCTTGGAGGAGAAGGTGGAGCAGGATGAAGGGGAAGAAATAGCCCTCTCACAGAGAGGGGCCCATCTCCTTTGGAAATGTGTTTATCTTACTGTACACTAACGGTCGGGGCCTCTTAAAGGAGGGTGCGGGAGGGGGAGAGGAAGCCGATTCCCCAGGAAGCTCTGCCAGATAAGAAATCTGGGACTCTGTAAACTCATCTGCTTCTGTGTTTTTGTACTGTCCCTCCTTAGTTTCCTCCTTGGTTCCAGTAAGGGTATCTGTGGGGAGGGAAAACACACACACACACACACACACACACACACACACAACCTCAGCTTTGTTTCAGCTGAACTAAGGGAAAAGAGATGGATCAAGAGAGCTTGTCAAGAAAGAGTGCCACGTATGGTGAATCTATCTTCCTCAGGAGTCAAAATTGTCAACTGACCCTTAAGTAAAAATGAATTGGCCCTGGTCAGTTGCTCAGTGATTAGAGTGTCAGCCCGAGGACCAAAGGTCTCAGGTTTGATTCCTGGTCAAGGGCACGTGAATTGTCAGGTTTGATCCCCAGGCCCATTGGGGCAGTTGTCAGTCGATGTGTCTCTCTCACATGGATGTTTCTCTCTCTCCCTCTCTCTCCTCCTTCTCCCTCCTTTCCACTCTCTAAAAGATCAATGGAAAAAATATTTTCAGGTGAGGATTAAATAAATAAGTAAATAAATAAATATAAAAAGGTAAAGTGAAATAATGTACGGAAGATGCCTACACATAGCAAGCACTGGGTGAGTAGCTGACAGTGAAGAGCTCCGCCTCCCTCCTGGGAAGGACTCTGTTCACACTCCTACTATAGGCCCTACCTTGTTGAAACCGTCAGTGTCTCTCTTCTCTATGGGCCCGAGGCCACCTGGGTGGGGGCCATAAACTCTTATTAGAATCAAGCAAGTGAAATGGCATGCGTTGAACAGCATCCCATTACTGTGGCTCTAAGCTGCCTAACCCACTAGTAGCCATACTTAGCAGGGCTTTGGTCAGATGGCAGGAATCTTCTCCAGAAAGCGGTGTTGTAAGGGCACACATTATGGGAGGAGAAAGGAGAAGGGTGGGAGTATTCCCAAGATGGACATGGTGACTATCTACTTAATTACCTTCGTAGGCTCAATAGCCAGAGTAATTTTATTTAAAGTGAATTTGAGAGAAGAAAGGGAAGGAAGTTAAAGAATGTGTGACCCTGACCAGTGTGGCTCAGTTGGTTGAGAGTCTTCTGTGCACTGAAAGGTTGCTGGTTAGATTCCTGGGCAGGGCACATGCCCGGGTTGTGGGCTCCATCCCCCGGAACGGGTGTGCAGGAGGCAGCTGGTAGATGTTGTGCTCTCACATCAATGTTTCTCTCTCCCTCACCCTTTCTCTCTCTCTGAAAATCAATAGACTATTTTTAATAATAATAATAATAATAATAATAATAATTTGTGATTGACTTCTCTAAGGATTGGCTCATCTGGTCAGAAGCTCTGAAGTGCTAGGTTGGGGTCAAGTGCCCTGAGCCAGGGCCCCAAACAGGGTTCGCTATGCTGGTGTGTGGGGGGGGAGGGAGAGGGAGGGCCTCCTCTCCAGCTGCACTCCACCCACAGAGTCCAATGGTGGCGGCCCTGCTGAGGGGCCTGGCTCAAGTTGTTATGGCCTTTGGGGAAGTTGGTGTGATGGTGAGGAATGGCACCTCCTTGATGAGGCTCGAAGACACCTGGGCCTCGATGTGAGGCTGCAGAACTTTGCACTTACATCCTCGCTGGGTTGCTGCTGTGGCGCTGAGGATGTGGAGGCTCCCCCTGAACAGAGTGCCTGTAAGAGAGTCACAGTCCAGGCATCCCAAGCCAGCTGTCTTCCCAGAAAACCCACCCCCATGAGAGTTGGTTGAGCAGGGAACACAACCCAGCCAGAAACCGTTGAGGTGTGAGGCTTGTGCACAATGATTTTACTTCAGTGGAAATTTTCACCAGCACCAGGAGCAGCACACGAGAGAGAACCCTTTCATAGGGCATGTGGAGAGGATCTCACCTGCAAAGCTGCAATTTCCATGTGTCACGGGAGCCTTTTACCTGCAGGGAGATTGGAAAGAACTTTCTGACCATCTCAGGCCATCTCCAGCTAGAGGTCACTCACCCCGGGGACAGGCCAAACAAAGTCTCTAAGTGTGGGTGACTTTTCAAAGAAGAAAAAACATCACACCTTGGGAAAATGCAAGAAAGCCGCTGGCTACAAGCACCACCGGGGTCTCCATACTGGAAGACATGAATGTGGGGAATCTTTTACCAGTAGAATTTGTTGTCATCAGAGAGTTCACACTGGAGAAAGGCCTTTGAGAGCAGTGAATGTGGGGAATCTTTTACCAGTAGAATTAGTTATCATCAGAGTGTTCACACTGGAGAAAGGCCTTTGAGAGCAGTGAATGTGGGGAATCTTTTACCAGTAGAATTTGTTATCATCAGAGAGTTCACACTGGAGAAAGGCCTTTGAGAGCAGTGAATGTGGGGAATCTTTTACCAGTAGAATTTGTTATCATCAGAGAGTTCACACTAGAGAAAGGCCTTTGAGAGCAGTGAATGTGGGGAATCTTTTACCACTAGCCCTGGCCCCTGTTCACACTGGAGAGAAGCTTTCAATACGGAGCAAAAGTGAGAAATCATTTAGCCATAAATAGATGCCCTCTTCACACTACGTAATGCTTAGATTTTAGGGAATGTGCTATTGCCTTGTTCAGTGTATGACACGGAAGATAACTCTGCGGAGCCCTCCACCTGAGTTGAAATTTATACGGATGTTCATGGTGGGAAGATCCCTCATAAGTTTCAGTTATGTTAACGCATGCGTGCTTGTTGCACTTTCTCACCTGTCCGGGGATTTATGTCCTTGCCAGTTTCTATGGCTGAAGGCATTTACCTCTGCTACTTGGAAGGTCCTCACAATGTGTATCAGCCGATACTCCAGTGTGCTCAGGAAAGTTTACCTCTGTCCTGCCATGTACAGCTCCTTGGATTCCTGGAGTCTGTCAGTGATAGTCTTCTCAAGGCCATTACTGTGAGACAGGAGCACCAAGGTAGTAAAAGGAAAGATCTGTCATCCAGGGTTATTGCTTTTGCAACCAAGTCAGAATTCCTGTTGACCTGGGTGGGAATGTCTGTCCTTGCCCACTAATATTGGCTTCCACGGAGGCAAGACTGACCCCCAGAAGGTATAAGGAACGAGATGGTGGGGTCAATACAGTGTTTCCAAACATATTTTCTTAAAAGAGTGAGATGTGCCCTGGCCGGTGTGACTTAATTGGTTGGAGCGTCATCCCATAGACCGAAAAGTCACTGGTTTGATTCTCAGTCAGGGCACATATCTAGGCTTCAGGTTCAGTTCCTGTTGGGGCATGTGCAAGAGGCAGCCAATCGATGTTTCTCACATGGATCTCTCTCTCTTTCTCTTTTTCTCTCTCTCTCTCTCAAATCAATTTTTTTAAAAAGTGGGATGTAGATTTTGTTAAATGTACAGTCACTTTTACAGCTTTATAAAAGTATAATTCATATTGAATAAACTGCTCATACTTAAAAAAAAAAAAAAAAGAATTTGTCCAGCTGGTGTGACTCAGTGGTTGAGCATAGACCTATGAACCAGAAGGTCCTGGTTCAACTCCTGGTGAGGGGCACATCCCTGGGTTGCAGGCTCGATCCCAGGTGTGGGGTGTGCAGGAGGAAGCTAATCAATGATTCTCTCTCATCACTGATGTTTCTATCTCTCTCTCCCTCTTCCTTCCTCTCTGAAATCAATAAAAATATATTGTAAAAAAAATAAAATAAAAACAAATTGGAGATTGGTTTCCTTTCAAACTCAGGATGCAGAAGCTATCAAAGGCGCTCAGGTTGGCCATGCTCCCAGGAGCCCCCACAGCCTGAATCCAGCCAGGCCCCAACCTGGAACTCTACACCCTGAGCCAGCCTGAGAGCTTGGTAGGGCAGGGAGCAATTTACTTTAACTGCATTTGTAAAGCCATGTTTTCTTTTCAGGAAAAATAAAAAGAGAAAAAGTAAAACCACACACCCTTAGTTCAATTCAAGTGTTTGCACTGCTTGCCAAAGGTAGAACAGACATGATTTCCCCCAAGAAGAATGGTGGTAGTTTGGGGGATGGTGTTAGACCGAGTCCTTTTGTTACCTGTTAGTAAATCTAATCCCTTCATGAAAAAAAAAATCAAGGTGCACCTTTAAATAACAACTCTGATAACCTCGAATTCTTAAAAGTCAATATTTGCTCATAGGAACTCTATGTACATTCCAGACATTTTATAGTTGGGCCTAATGGGGTAGAGCTTGGGGATCGCCACTCATTGAAGGTCCCTATTTCCCTATCTCCACCCCCACTGTTTTTTGGACAAAGCATTATTTTTTAACCCTCTAATGATTGGACATCTCTTGATGAGAGGGTTTGGGGCATGTTTTTGTCTATTTACATATCATATTATGAACTGGGGAAAGACAGCATGATTTGACAGTGGAGCTTCTAGATATAAATGATTTTGTTAAAACACGTGGAATTTAAAAGCTCTTGCCTTGTAATGAGTCCTTTGAAAGGTAATCTATTTGGGGCCCTTTGGGGTTTCTGAGGAAACATGCAGCTTTGGGGGGAAATGCTCTCTCTCCCCTGGTCCCACAAGCGCACGTTTCCCTTGGGCCTCGAGCTGGATCGCTCTGCTTCCTGATGCAGTAATTAGATATTTTGGTGAAGGAAATTTTAAAGCCCAATTATGCTGTAATGAGAAAGGTGGGATTTCTTTCCTTGCATGTGACTCAAGGGCACATTTTCCTTAAAAACCCAGGTATCACATTTTGGCCTGTGACAAGATGCCACACCCCTTCTTATGAAAGAGCCCCCAGGCTCTGCCCTTGGAGAGGTTACCATCCAGAGTGGAGGAGGGGCAGCCAGCCAAATAATTTACACGTGTGGTAATGGCAGTAAACTTTTATTAGTGTTGTCAGTACATTTGACACATTTATTGCATTTACTGAGCCCAGTGCCTGGGGACACAAAGGCAAATACTAACATTTATCAAATCTATGCCATATATCGCAATCATGCCATTACTCTTTTTTAATTTTTTTGTCTCACCAAGAAAGGAAAAAACACTGCCTATCTATATATATAAAAGCCTAAGTGACCAGCCAACTGGCCTACCAGCCGACTGGCCGGTAGCCATGATGCGCACTGACCACCAGAGGGCACACGCTCAATGCAGAAGCTGCCTAGCAATAGCAACTTTGCAGAGTGCCCTCTTGCACTCCGGGACCCCTAGGGGGATGTCGGACTGCCAGTTTCAGCCAATCCCCTCAGGGTCAGGCCAAGGGACCCCCACCTGCCAGAGGGACCCCGCTCACTCCACAGACACTCTTTGAGCCCAGGCGCCACCCCAGGTGCAGCCGGCTGGAGAGGGATGGCTGGAGGTTGGCTTCAGGGCATGTCTGGCCTGTCTCCCCCAGTACTGACCCTCTGGCCACTTTCTAATTAATTTACTTTCAATGTGCACGAATCTGTGCACTGGGCCTCTAGTTGTAATATAAATGAATCCTGGTTTCAAAGTTGCTAAAGAGTTGAGAATCTGCATCTTAGAATCAGTAATCCTGCCAGATTCACTCAGAAGACAGATAGGGAAGCTACCATAAAGCAACATTGCAAGCACCATTAGGGAGGTCTAAACATGTGTTAAGTTGGCCCAGAGCCAAGAGCCAAGAGAACTGGATGCTACCTAAGAGGCAAGGTGGGTAGGCTTCACAGAGGAGGTGACTTTTGAACAAGGTCTTAATGACTGAATAAGGATTTGCAAATGGAGAACAGAGGGTATTCCAGGCTAAGGAAACTACATGTGGGCTCTGATAATGTCTTAAATTAAAGCTCAACAATGTGTTAGATTCCATTACTTCTCTTATGTCTCCGCTGGTAATTAAGAAATATCAGCTACTGTTATTATTCCTGTCCAGTCATGTGGACCATTGTTCTAAAGCTGTGCTACCCAATATGGTAGCTACTAGCCACCTGTGACCACTAAGCCACATGTAGTCACTTAAAATGTGACCAGTCCAAATTGAGATGTGCTGTAACAGTAAAATACACACTGGGTTTTAAAGACTTAGTACCCAAAATATGTAAAAATCTCTAATAGTTTTTTTATATGAATCGACATATTAAAGTGACAATATTTTTGGTTATAGTTGTTTAAATAAAATGTTATTAAAATTAATTGTAACTGTTTTCTTTTACTTGTGTAATTGGGTCACTAGAAACATTTAAAATTACAATTGTGGCTCACGTTATAGTTCTGCTGGAAACCACTGTTGTCGAGCAGTCTGCTAGGAAGTGGGGGTGAAGGTGACTGGGGCCCAGGGCAAAGGCCTGAAGCTGGGAGATGCCCCTGCACTCTGCTGCCCCGGTTCCTGGGGTGCCTCCCTGTTTCTGTTCTCTCTGGTTAAGAATCGTGCCCCAGGTTCCACAGAAGTAAGAGGCAGAGCTGGGCTTTGGCCCACGCAGCCTGGCTCCAGAGCCTACCCGTGAGTTCCGGTAATGTGAGTGGGAGCTGGGGTCATTAATACGTTACCCACTTCAGAGACTGTGCACACGCATTTCCAGGGGCCTCTGAGGAGTGGAATGCTGGGAATTTCTGGCACCAGCCACAAGGTCTCCAGGAAAGAGCTTCCATCCTGAACCAGGTCCTTGTGAGAGGCAGGCCTCTTGGGTGTTAGGTTGGAGGGCGGCCTGATTTTGGCCTGTCCTGGTGAGTTTCTGCGTGAAGCCTATGTCCTGAGCAAGAATCCAAGACCCCTATCTCCCCCCAGGACCCCGGATCTCCCCACTGTTCTAGCACCTGCCCCACCCCCCACCAGTTTGATGTGCTGTGATTTTGTTAAAGTTCTCCCTCAGCTTATTGCCTTTCTCTTCATGCCCACAAGGCCGACTCACCTCTACAGACCCAAGACAAAATGTGTCACTCCCTCCTCTCTTCCCTGGTGTAGTGATTTGTCTGCATTTCTGTGGCCCCTGCTGGATGAGGTACCCGACCTGCGTGGTGGCAGCATCCTCCTGTCCTGTGTGCTCAGCAGTGCCTGGAGTCTGCACACCCTGATGCTCAGTTCTGCTTTGGAATGGAATGGAATCAAATCACTTGAACTAACTAAAGGAGAATGAAGACAGCTCCCTCACAGTCTAATTCTCCTTTGCAAATCCTCAAGGAGGC